TTATTACGATATCACTTCTATTTCTGAGCGTTCTTTATTCAATAAAAATAATAATTAATTTATGTTCTAAAGGAAGAATTGTGTAAAATAGATTTTTCCCTCACTGGGGAGGTCTCTGTGTTTATTCCATCGGAAACCGACAACTCCCACTGCGGATTTGTTTTCCTGTTATGCACGGCGCGGACTCAGCCGAGTTAAGGTTTAGTTTGTAAGGTGCTCTCGATACACGCGTAGCCATCCGACGGAGTTACCCTCGAAGTACAGTTCAATTTTGATCTTAATCAAGTTTGCCCTTTTCGAAGACAGCTTTCTAACTCGATCACGTCCCTGGACGCGTTGACAATTTCATCTCACGTAGTTGCGAATACCTTCTTTCTAAGCTAGTTAGATACGCATCCCATCGGTTTAGATCCTCAATTAAAAAGAACCCTTTGAAAACTGATCCCAACCCGTTTCAATAATAATTCATACATTAATTGCTGCAATGTTTGATATAATATTTAATACAATATTAGATTATTGGATAACAAACAATATTGAAAACCTTCCAATATTGAAGCAGAAAAGCCCCGAAGGACAAACAGAAGAAAGCTAGACTCCGTCGACTACGTTCCTCGACTTATCTCGAAATATATGTAGATTAAGCGTGTCCTTTGTGACTACCGCGAACAAAACGTGGCGACCCGGTTGAAAAGAAAGAAGTGGCCAGCGCGGGACGACTGCAAAAACCTAAGCAGCTCACGGGAAAGCTGCTTACGATATTCGGAACGAAAGACGCTACCCGAGTCCCCATCCGTTTCTAAATGACAGGACTGTCAGCCATCTCGGCATTTCATTATCGTAAATCACACGGTTTTCGGAACTAATGACCCTCACAAAGGGACGAACGCTGCGGAATACCATAAGCCGATTGTCATACAAAAACTTTGTTATTTTTACCTGCCCGCGGTATTATAAAAAAATGAATATCATCTGGCTGTATCGAACTACCCTTGATACACTGACACAGTTACAAAGTCCCTAATGAATACTCGTCTTAAATTTAATTCCAGTTCAAAGGGTTCCGAACTGACTTCAACTTCCTCAAATGAGGGAACGTAATCTATTTTTTTTAAATATCTAACGTAGAAAAGACAGTTACTTTTATTTTACTAAAAAGATGTAAGACTTCTTTGAAGAATCTTTGGAACAGAGGAGCAGAGTTATAAAAAAGACAAACTGTAGTTAAAATCCCGGAAAAGATAGCGGAACGAGGAAAGATGCATGTGCACTGTTTATTTTTTAGCTTGCGAAGTATGCCTTGGAGACTCATTACGTTGATATAAGTTTTCGAGAGAGCTCGAACATTCTTCACGCCCAGGCTTTCAGTTTTTATCCAGTACAAAAAAAGATAGGCATTAAATCTATAATGAAACGATTGTTTCAATTTTTTTCTTACAATAAATACTGGAAAATTATGTTTGTATTCCCGAATCGATACGAGCATTATTTTTATCACTATGAAGCGTGCAATTATGTCATTCGTACATGTGTAATCGGTTTGCAAATAAATTTCCTGCGACCACAAAATGTAATTTCGAATCGAAATTACGCTGATAGGGCGAACACTTTCCGATTGATCTGCATCGATGACGGGTGACAAATCGCATAGCCCCGATAATTATTACATATACGTATTATTTTATGGTTGCCGCATTGATTAATGGCGTCGGTCCCGATAAATTGCAGTTCACCCGATGGTTCAAGTACCGAACCAGCTAGTCGGCGCGCCAACTGGAACCAACGTCACGCTGGTCTGCCTCGTGGAAGCTTCCCCGAAGGCCATTAATTACTGGACGCGCGAATCAGGTAAGATTTCAATTAACTGTCGTCGTTTATTTTATTTAATTACCGCGAATTAATTTCCGAATAACAAGAAAGGCAAAGTAATTTCGAACGTGGAGTTCATGTAAAACTACTTACTAACATTATTAATTAAGGATGTGTTGCCTATACAGTCAATCCCAAAAGTTTATGTACCTTAGAAAAACGCATTTCCTATAATTAAAAAGAAATCAGACGTCGGAAGGATAATGCTA